TTTTGTATATGAAAAATATTATCATAATACCTACCAGGTAGTTTCCAGGATGCACCTCAGCCCAGGTGAATGTACCTTATGAGCTTTAGCTCCTTACTACTCAAAATGACGTGATGGATGGGCAGCATGGGCATCATCTGGAAGACTGTTAGAAATGCAGAATCTCAGCCCCTCCTTCCCCCCCGCAAACAGACCTGCTGAAGCAGAATGTGCATTTTAACAAGATGCCCAGGTGATTCACATGCACGTTAAAGTCTGAGGAGCTCTGGTCTAAAGCACTGTACACATCACATAAGACATGAAGGAGGTGCAGAGGGACTCAGGAGACAGCTTCAGGACCTAGGCAGTTACTGGTCCTGTGGGGCACTTACGCCCACGGTTCACTTAGAGAAGAGGGGTGCTGCCCCTGCTAGCACTGAACTGTCACAAAAAGAGAAAAGAAAGAAGGAAAGAAGGAAAGAGGAAGGAAGGAGGAGGGGGAGGGAGGGAGGGATGGATTGATTGACACAGCCGTAAATCGTCCCGTCATGTGGCCTCTCAGGTAGCTCCCTGTTTCCTTCTAGCACTGGCACTGTGGCTAGATAGCAGCACCTCCCAAAGTCAGAGAAGCAGGGATGTGTAGACCAGGATGGCCCCGAGCAACCCATGAGCTACAGATCTCAACCCTGAACAACTTTGGGAGCTCCAACCGCAGAGTGGGACAGCTGGAACAAAACCCCTGGCCAAAGCCGTTGATGTACCCTTAGTTGTCTTCTTGGAACTCCACCTCCATGCCTTTTAGCACTGGACCCAATCTAGCAAAACGAAAAGATAGCCTTCCTCTATGGGACAAAGGGAGATGAACATGGACCCACATTATCCCTGACAATCTCAAATCTCAACGCTGGGTAAACAACAATGTCTTTCTCTTTCCAGAGGATGAAATGCAGAAAATATTTAGTAATCAAAAACAAAGGGAACAGAATCAGAGCTGGTTCCTTTATAAAACCACTCATCCCCCAAACATAAGAGTGTTCCAAGAAAAGCAGCTCTCATTAATATCACCAACAGGCTTGGAGAAAAGTGAACCTGAATGCAAAGGGCATAAACTTGCAAAGATAGTTCCAACTTGAAAAATAAGTTTTAGAAAAAAGTTTGTGTAAAATTCTAAGACTATGTAGTAAATTTTAAAAGCTTTACTAAATGGATAATTTTCTAGGAAAATATAAATTACCAGAACTGAATTCAAAAGGAAGAAAGCCTAGAGAAAGAAGCAGTGCCGATATCTGGCTGACCCACACCAGTATGACATTCTGGTTGGCATCCATCCTCTTTGGTCAGACACTATCATGTTCCGAATGGTCCTGTCCCTGGCACAGTAATTGGTAAATTTTTGAAAGATCACTCCTGCCAATATCCAGAGAAGCAATAGAGAAAATAGTCCAAACAACCATGTGAGGTCCATATGGTTCATGAGCCACCTCTCTCAAGCCAAAGAATAAGTAATTCTCATGCTATTTAAACTACTCAGTAACAGAGAAAAAATGGAAAGCTCCTCCATTTTACTAAAAAACAAGCATAACTCTGATGTGGTAACCTGAGGAAGATAGCACAAAGAAAAAACCTACAGACCCAGTCTCACTTGATGAATACAGATGCAAAAAGCCTGCGACAATCCATCTTGTCACCATGTCTAAGTGGGTATGTGATCTTCTCCAGCTGCAGATCAGATGTGGGCATGGAGAGGCTGGCCAGCTCGTTCTTCCAGAAGTGGGGTTTGATAGAAGGCTGGGACAGGACAATTAGGCAAGTAGAGGGGCTGATGGGATGAAGTGAGAGGAAGAAGGGAAGAGAGGAGGGGCTGAGAGATAGGGGGTGCAGTGCATGGGAAGGTGATTATCTGTGTGTGCTAGGAGTGATGGAACCCGGACACCATCAAACTATGAGCCGATCAAGGATACCAGAGGCCTGTGTGCAGATAAGAGATGTGAGCGGCTGAGGAGGCCAAGGATAAAGGGGAGCTGCTTTATCATGGAAGGAGAGGAATGCTCCAGATGTGTCTGGAGTGGAAAGAAGGCAATGGAAGCTTGGGTTGGGGAGAGCAGGAGGCAGATGACTGACTAGAAGGCTGACATCTTGCGGGGGGACCAGGGATACACACAGCCATTACACATGATAAATTACTCAAACTACTCAGTAAACAAAGAAATGTAAATGAAAACAAAGCGATACCATTTTGCACATATAATTTGGCAAAGTTAACTAGGAAAAAAATACTCTGCTGGAGAGAACAAAAGGATGTGTGCACAGAAATTGAGCTCCAAGTCCTTTGACCTCAGGGATGAAAAATAAAATACAACATAAAAGTCCATAAATAAGCAGTTGGTTGAATGCGCTGTGGCCATCCCCTGAAACGGCTCTTAAAAATATTTACAAATAGGTTTATTGACGTTGATTTACTGCTACATCAAACAGCGATTTCCAAAATTGTAATTTTAATATCCACATATTTGCATAAGTATAGGATTATGAGTGATTTTTACCTTCTCTTTCCTTACATGCATTTTTAGCATTTTTCTACAATTAACTTTTAAAACATAATATTCTAACGACAAAACAAAACAAAACAAAAATAGTATAACGACAAAATCATGTCACTCCTCTGTTTAAACGCTTCAAATGCTCCCACGGGCTTCGAGCTCTGTTTCAAATTCCTTAGCATTCCGAGGCCTTTCGTGAAGGGTCCTAGTCTCTCTCCACACCCCACTTCCAAATCTCACTCCGAAAGTTCCCTGAGGACCCACGCCTTTTTATACCTCAGTTCCCTCTGCTCAGCATATCCCCGCCCACCACACCTGCGGCCCAGAGGCAAAGTCCCCAGCATGGCCCAAAAAGCCCGGCGTCACCCTCCCCCCGGCCCCGCCCCGGCCCCGGCCCCGCCTGGAGCAACGGGAGCAGGGCTCCCGGCTGGCGCACCGGGTCCCGCGGGAAGGGGGCGCGCGCACGGAGACTTCGGAGACCCCGGTCCACCGCGTGACCTCCCCGGAAGCCTGCGCGCAGGCACAGACAGGGAGCCCCCGGGCCGCGAGTAGGGACCGAGCCGCAGAGTCCGAGCCGCAGAGGAGCTTCTAGGCTTCGGGCCTGGGATCCCATGGGGCTGTCTCCAAGGCCGGACAGGGTAGGGGGCTCCCGGCGGGTCCGCCTTAGCCTCACCTTAGCGCTGTTTACGAAGCGGACTTCCACGGCGACCCGGGCCCTGCCCGCCACGCCCATGCAGAAGGAGAACACGTCGCACATGGAGGCCGCCATCTTGGGCGCGCCTCCGCCTTTTGACCCTTGACCTCGCCTCGACCCGGAGGCCCCGCCCCTTCCCGGCCCCGCCCCCGGCGTGTGTGTCTGAGGCTGTGAGGGTTTGCGCCCTAGCGAGTCCGAATCTAAATTTAATCTACATGTTTAGGTCGATTGGTTCGGTGGCTGGATGCAACTGGGTCTGCCTTTGTGTTTTACATCTGTGCGGTTTTTCGTGTCTTCGTACGTACCTGTGTATTATAGCCTATGGGTGTGGGTATAGTTTTGATGTGTCTGTGTCCACTTCGCGTTTATATGCCCTGTTGTCTCTGTCCACCCATTGGCCCGCTTTGTCAAGCGCTCTTTGGACCCAGCCGAGGCGGGGGCGTGTGTGTGTGTGGGTCGGGGCGGGGGGAGGTAGCGTGTGTGTGTGTGTGTCTGTGTGTGTCGGGGCGGGGGGGGAGGGGGGAGGCAGCCGGCCGACTTCTACCCTCTCTGATCTACCAGAAAGGAGGGACTAGCTTACTGCACCTATCCATCCTATTCGGTCGGGTGCAAGAATTCCCCTTTCCTTGGGCCTTCAAGCTGGACTTGTGCTTCTCTCAGACTCTTCAGGGGCATAGGGACCTTGCAGCCTAGGGGTGGTGTTAGGGGGTACACGGTGGACCTCAAGTCTGAGGACCCCTGAAATTGTATGCAGGAGTGTGCATATGTACATTGTCCTGGTAACAGGAGAGGGGCCTGTTCATTCAGGACACCACATAGCTGAAACCACTGACTTTTAGCATCTGTCCCCACAGCCAAGCCTGACCACCATGCCTTACTTCCTTGCCCTCCAATGGATTCTGTGCTCGAGAAAGGACATGTATCTGCTTCTGTTACGGTCTCATGGTGACATTGGGGGATTGGGTAGAGCCCAGTAACTGCTGAATAGGTTAACTGTTTTATTTTTAAAAAGTGAGTCAATTGAAGAAGCAGGTGCTGGAAGAGGCAGATGCTGCTGGATCCCTTTGATTAACAGTTGACTTTGGGTCCAGCATTAGGAAGGATTTCCCTGAAGACCGGGAGAGAGAAGGGCTCTTGAAGCTGGACCCTGACCTCCCTCAAGCCCGTGGCCTAGTGTCTAGGAGAGGATGGTCTACCACCACTTGGAGGCATGTGGTTTTTCCAAGGCCACCTCTGCTCCCTGACTTTCTTTCTGCTCTCCCTCAGAACACTGCAGACAGCAGTGGGGACCGTGCCTTCTCCCACCACCAGGTGGCAGGGCAGGCCTCTTTCACTAGCACAGCTCAGTACCCAGAAGCCATTCTAGATTATCAATACCGTCAACAGAGGCCTGCCCAGGAATGTAGAGCATTAAAGAAATCAGCTCTGGAATTGCTGATTCCAGAGCAATCACAGGAGTAGGCTATCAGTAGGCTTCCTAGAAACTGAGCAGCTTCCTGGGAAGGAAAGGGAACCATGAGTTAGGGTCTTGAAGGGGGAGAAATTATAACTGTCTCATGGAAATACAGGAGAGTTTGTGACAAAATGCCTGCCTTGACAAAGGCAGAGCCAAACTGCTCTATTTTATGTAATGATGGAGAGGTGTCAAGGTGGGTAGCTAGAGGGAAAAAGATGGTAGTCAGGGTAGCATGTCTGCTCCTAAGTAGGCAGCTGGGGCTGAGCTCCTGAAAATGGTAACAGTTCAAACAAAACTTTGGGAAACTCTGAGGGGTAGGAGGCTAACTGATTTACCTTTCCCCCCTCTTTGCTCTCAACTCCACCATCTCTGGTGGGGAGGAGGCTTCTAGGTCCAGACACTGATTCAAGGAGGCCTCTTCTCCACAGCCAGACCGGGAAAAGATTAATCCCTGGAGAGGCCAGTGCTGGTGCAAACACCACACCCCCAGGACCCACCTCTAGGTGAGTCCTAGAAACCTTAACACTTGCTGAACACTTAGGCCTGGGCCTAGCACACTGTAACAACTTTACAGACATCCTGTCAGCTCTGGGAGGACGAAGCTGTCAGTGCACCCATTATACAGATGAAGAAAAAAGGCTCAGTTCCAGTGAGTGCCCCCAAGAAGAACTAGCTCAGACAGCCTAGGTTGAGCCTCTGTCCCAGTCCTCAGCTGTCCACTCCTGACTCCGTGTCTTCTCTCTGAACGCTGTCATCAGAGCTCCTGGAGGGCTCATCCTGGGAGGCAGCCATGGCAGACGCAGCTGGCAGCTTCAGCCTTTGCTGCTTCTGATACTTGACCCTGCGGTTTTGGAACCACACCCTCACCTACAATCAGAGGCAATGGTCAGAGATTAGAATGTGACCAGCAGTCCCACGGTTTCCCCTATTCCACAGTGCCCACATTTGCTCTTTCTTCTAAAAGAAGCATCTCCTCCAAAACACCCTTCCCTAGAATTTCAGACACCATTTGTTCATCCAACAAATATTTATTGAGCTCCTATTATGTACTAGGCACCATCCTAAGTGATGCTGATACGGGGTGAGCAGTAGAGGTATGGTCCCTGACCTCATAGAACTTAGGGTCCAGAGAGAGACAAATAAACATGGAAACAAAAACACAAATGGGGGTTTGAACCTCCCTGAGGAACCAGCACTTAAGCTGAGGCTCAAAGGATAAGAGGCCAGTTTAATGAGGACAAAGAAAAGCAGGCTGGATCAGGAGACAACTTGTAGGAAAGCTTGGGGTGTTTGAGGACCAGAAAAGAGGCTGAAGTATCTGAGAGTGAGATGGAGAAGTAAAGAAAGGGACAGTAGGAGAAGTCAGCAGGGGCCAGATCACCCAGGACCATGGAGGCTATGGGTAAGGAGTATCAGTTTTGAGGCTTTTAAGTGGGATGTGACATAGTCCTGTTTGCACCTCAAGTGAACTGCGTACCAGGCTGCTTTGTGAAGAATGGATGAAAGGGGATGCAGAGAGACAGCTGGGAGGCTATTGCAATGATCCAAAAAGAGCTGGGACCAGGATGAACTGGGGGCAATGGAGAAAAATGAAGCGATCCCAGCTGTATTTGAGGTACAGGTGACAAGGCTTGGCGATGGATTGGAAGTAGGAGAGGAGGGATCTAGGATGACTTGGTATTTTGAGCAACCGGACGGATGGTGGGGCCATGAGTAGGGAAAGGAACAGATCTGGAGAGAAAAAAAGTCAAGAACTGAGGTTTAGACTTGTTAAGTTTGAAATGCCTACCCAGAGACATCCAAGTGGAGACCTCAAGAAGTTAGGTAGATGTACATGCGAGAGAGGGGAGGAAAAAAAAGGGGGTGGGCTAAGGTACAAACCTGGGAATTGTTGGCTTATAGATGGTATTTAAAACCATGGGATTAAATGAGATCAGCTAGAGGGGCGGACGACAAATATGAGGTCACAAAGAGGAGAGTACCCTACAACAGAGGTGACAGAGAAGAAGTGGCCAGAGAGCTGGAAAACCAAGAATGCAGTGTCCAGAAGCCAAGAGAAGTGCATGTCAATAAGAGAAGTAGTCAACTGTACTAAGTGGGGAGTAAGATGAGGAAAGGAAAGCATCTGCTGACTTTGGCAAACATGGAGGTCATTAAGAGACCCTGAGGAGAAGTTCTGATGGAATGGGAGGGAAAGAATTCATACTGGAATGAGTTACGTAGATGGGAAGTGAGGACATGGAGAGAGGAACTATAACAAGTTCTTGGGAAGTCTGCCTATGAAAAGAGCAGAAAAATGGTGTAGTGGCTGGAAGAGAATATGGAGGTCAAGTGAATGTTTATTATTTTTAATATTTAGGGGCACCTGCGTGGCTCAGTCATTAAGCATCTGCCTTCGGCTCAGGTCATGATCTTGGGGTCCTGGGATCGAGCCCCACATAGGCTCCCTGCTCAGCAGGAAGCCTGCTTCTCCTTCTCCCACTCCCCCTGCTTGTGTTCCTGCTCTTGCTATCCCTCTCTGTCAAATAAATAAAATCTTAAAAAAAAAAATTTAGTCCCTTGAACATAATTTCATTGTCACCTCCTTTTTTAACATGCATAATTCTAGATTAATATGTATTGTTCCCATAATGTGGTTTCAAATGGGACTATTTTCATCATTCATGTAGGGAGTGTGCTAGTGATTAGGGCTTGTCTCCCCCAGTGACCTGGCACAGAGGAAGAAGGCCCATGTCTTCCCCCCAACCTCACCCAGGGCCTTCGGGAGAGCAGCGTCGGCCCCCAGGTATAACCCAAGTCCTGCAGGAGTCCCTGCTCCCACCTGATTCTCCGTAAGGTTGAGCTGGGCCGCCAGCTGAGCTCTCTTCTTCCCCACAAGATTGTGCTGCTTTGTAAACACGTTCTCCAACTCTTCCAGCTGCTTCAAGTTAAACATAGTCCGAACCCTCTTTTGGGGTCTCTCAGTGTCCTGAAGTTCCTCTGCTGGAGTCCAGTCTGGGGTGCCCCAGAGGCCTGAGCAGTGAGCCAGCTCTAAGCCTAAAGAGCATATGTATACACACACACACAAATGCATAAAACATCTCTGGAAGAATAAAGAGACTGGTATCATTGGCTGCTTGTGGGGTGGGGTTAACCAGGTGACTGGGAGACAGGAATGTTAAGGGAAACTCTTCTCCATCTAACTTCGTAAACATTTTGAAGTTTCAACTATATGAATGTAATAACTATGCAAAAACTAACTTGAAAATGAGATCACTGTAATATAAAGCAGTAAACTGCAATTCAGAGCTCAGCTGTCTGAGGAAGTTAGGGAAAATTGGCTTGGAGCTATGCGCATATCGCTCAGATGCAGTGGCATGAATTCGGATAGGGTTGAGAGCCTAGAATGGGGGTGGGGTGGAGAATGCCCAGCAGAAAGGGATGGAAATGCAGAAGGGGGAGAGCCCAGGGAGTAAGCACCAAGTAAGACTGTGCTACATCGATCTTGGTATGGGTTGACAAGGCTTGCACTAACTTTGCTCCTGTTTTCCTCAAGGGGAGGTGGGGAAGCATGAATCAAATTGCCAAAAATGGCAAAAACTCCTGTAGGTGGGTGTTAATGCTAGAGGAGGTTAGGTCAACAGTTAAATCCTCCCTGGGATTTAAGTGCCTGCGCCCCACAGCCCGAGGTTCCCCTTCTAAGAGCGCTATATGCAAGCAGGCTCAAAGCAAGTTCAGTGTGGAGCCTAAGCTCCACGGACGTGAGCCGTGCGCGCGGCACCGGGGGCTGGGCATTTGTCAGCTCCTTAACAGCTCCTCGCTGAGCCTCAGCACCGCAGGAGCCGCTTCTCCCAGCTAAGACGGGGCCGTTCGTTTGGGAAGAGAGCTGCTTTGGCGAGGAGTCTGCGCTACCAAGCGTTATCCGAAGCGGGTGTGGAGGGGGCGAGAGACTATAAATCCCTTCTGAGGGGACACGCCGCAGCCCCAGCTCCCGGGCCGGGCCTACCGAAGCCCCCTCTGACCCACCCGCACGTCCCGCTCCGCACCCGCGCTCACACACACCTCCACCCTCCTCCGCAGCGTGCGTGCGGGGGAAGCCTCGTGCGGCGGCGGTCTAGTCTCTGCGCTCTCTGGCCTCGGATTCCACGGCAAGGTCAAGGGTCATAGGGCCCCTTCCCACTCCGACCGTGCGTGGTCCTCAAACTCAGGGACTTCTCTACCCTGTGCGCACTGCCGCGGCTTCCACGCTACAGCCGCCCCGCCCAGTTCCCAGGTCGCGGGCGCCCGGGCACCTCGTACCTGTGACGCCGAGGCCCTGGAAGCCGCAGAAGTGAGCCACGCGGAGCCCCGGCCCGGGTGGCTGGGGGCACGGCGGGTGGAGACCCACGCCCAGGTAGGCTGGCAGCCACGTCGCGGGAAACCGGGAGGGAGCGGTCCGGAGCCTCGCGGC